ACACACACACACACACACACACACACACACACACACACACACACACATTTTTATTCACCACAGAAAGGGAGCTCACAAGAGATCAAAGTAATGACTGCAACAGAGATCAGTTTGCTGAACCAATGCGTTTTTTAATGGGGCTACTAAAAGGAGTATTGGTAACGGTACTTTCATGAACAGCTTCATCACTAGAAAGCACAACTTACCCTGGGTGATGACTCATGAAACCTGCACCCCTAGAGTTCTCTGCACAATTGGAGGCAGCTGGATAGACTGAAGGTATTTCTGTGCTTGGCTACTCAGTCTCCTCTCCTAGTATGTCTATGAGAATCTTGCAAGTTTTTGCATTCCCAGATGTATGTTTATGGATCCACCTCCTTCCTGGAATGAGAACAGGTAAAGAGATCTTTACCTATTTGAATATGATCTTCTGTTGTTGGTTTGAGTTCCTCGTTGTCATCCTCACATTAAGGGTCCTGACTTATTTCTTTTTCCTATAGTGCATTTGTAAGTGTGGGTATCAGTCATTGTTCTGAAGCAATTTATAGCAAGTAAAGTCTTAAACCTGGAATGCATTATTAAGATTTTTAAAATTTATTGTTAGGGGAAGAGAGATGGTTTAAGAGAATTCTTTGTTGTTGTAGTTGTTTTTGAAGAGGAGCCTCATTCAATTCCCAGCACTTACTTGGTGGCTTATAAAAAGACACCCTCTTCTGATTTCTGTGGGAACAAGCATGGATGCATGCATATCTATATATGAAGGCAAAACAAGCATACACACAGAAGGAAATCTAAAAATTTAAAAATGTACTGTGGCCAGTGGAGTGATAAAGCATAGTATCATACTTTAAACGTGTCTTGCATTTATCTTGTTTTCTTTTGTCCTGACATGGAAATTGGTTGGTCATTCAAAATATGTTGTGTTACAATTCTTTCCTGTTTTCAAATTATCAACCTTTGTATAGAGCCAACATCACTACGTAGATAAAAATCATGAACATGATTTAAAACAGTGTTTCTATACTTTTCATTGCAATGCTCACTGAACTAATTTGGAATTGAAGACTATGATTCTATCTGCTTGAGGTTAGGGATTAGACGGGTGGAGAACTGGACACGTGCGCCATTTCAGATACAGTCTGCCCCTGCCTGTGGTGTGAGTGAGTCCTAACTCATGTATTAAAAACTTGGTTTTCAGTGTTGTGATACTGGGAGGTACTCTTAAAGAAGCAGGGTCTTTGAAAGGTGGCCGGTAGCTGGGACACTGCCTTCAGAAACCACTGACATGGTTCTCATGGGACTCCCATTATTTTCTGCAACAGAAAGTTGTTATGAAGACAGAAAGCCTGGATCCTAAATCTATCTGTTTTCCTATATTTCCATTTGTTTTCTGTGTTCTCTTAAGCATTCCCACCACAATGACGTGTACCACGTCATAACACAGTGAGAGGAGCCCTTGCAAAGATGCTGAATCATCCTGTCAACTTTCAGAATTGTGAACTAAGTAAATGTTTTTTTTTTAATAAAGTGTCCAGCCTCAAGAGTTTTGACATAGCAACAGAAGATGAACCAAGCCACCATCTATTACCTACTATATTTCATCCATAGCCTTCTGAAAGTCAGATTAGAGTCAATTGTTTTTAGTGCTTAGCAAATTTCTATTCTGAAATGCTAGTCAGTGGATTGGTACTCAAATAGTTACATGAGAATCACACAAGAATATTTATAGATTCCCGACTTTGTTGTCCCCTCTATTTTTTTGTGAGTTGCTAGTGTAATGGTGTCTATTAGTTTAAGGTCTCCAGTAGACAGATGTGGAAATTATCAGCCCAGAGGTTTCTGCCTAGATGTCTCAGTCAACAACTAATTAGTAACATTTTAATAGGGAAGCCACTATTATAAGTTCTTATTTTTCCCTCTAAATTTACAGATTGGACTGTGTAAGAAACAAAATGTGGGTTGCAGTCTTCGGAGTGTTTTCTGTTGCCATGTCAGTGGTGAGTGGCTTTGGCCTGATGCTGCACATCGGGGTCCCATTTGTGATCATAGTTGCAAATTCACCATTTCTTATTCTTGGTGAGTAAAACAAGTTATGAAGCTGTGTTGAGTCTGTAACTATGTTCTGTAGATAAGAGAATGCATTTTGTTTAGGTGGCTCAGACAACAGAAAGAACCAATTATCTTCAGAGTTGGAAATATATAGTACCCTAGACAAAGAGAGGGAAGAAATATGGGCATTTGGTCACACATAGAAAACAAAATAGAAGCCCCTGAAAATACAAGAACAAATATTTTGTATAAAGGGATACACATTAAACAGACAAAAAAAAAGTGTTCTTTTTTTCTAGATTAATCAGGACTAGGGAGACCATTTGGAATGTTGTGTGTAAAGGAGCATTCCCTAGATTCTGCTGTAAAGCCAAGTATAAATGATTTGCATTCCCCAAATTTATAGCAAATCAGAGAACTTAAAAGGGAACTATAGACAAGAAATTTCACTTCTATAAAATGTATCTGATAAATGTAATTGATCATAAGTAGAACAAATGGGTTTATTTTGGTCTGTTTTAGAATAAGAAAATATTGAAAGCAATCTTATACCATGCCAATATGGAATTTGTCAAATCAAACTAATTAAAATATTGAAACCATATTTAGCCCTTAAAAAAAAGACAAATATGAATTAAATAAAAACATTCATTACAAAACAAGATAATTTTCCCCCTGGTAATGTGCAAAGAGACATGTGGTGGTGGTGTTGGTCTTGTATCAGTCAGGGCAGAGCAGATGGCAGTCACTGTGGCTTGAGCCTGGCTTGGTGGCCAAAGCTGTTTTATGCATAGGACTCATAAAAATCCAATCAATCAATCCAATCCAGGCAGCACAGTGCGGGAGGAGGAAGAAAGAGAGAGACTTGTGTTGAGCCATGCCTCCTACAGATCTGCCTGCCCTCTGGCACATAGCACAGGAGGACCAGTCATCCATTTGCCAAAGGATATCATACCCAGGAGCCCACCAGCCACGTGGCCAGCCTGCAGCAGGAACCACCACAGTGTGAGGGGATGTGGTGGACAGATGGGGGTGGGGGAGAGAAGTGGAGCAGCTTGAACATGAAGAGAGATGGAACTAGAGACTCAAGGGTAGACAGGAGCAGCCTGTTGTGAGTGGCCAGCCCTGCCACCTGGAGCATGGTGAGGTCCCAGCCTGAGCTGCTGTTGAGGGCCACATCCAGGTCCTTGGTTAGGCAGTGGCAGGGGTCAGTGTCAGTGTCTGTGGCTCATATTACCACAACAGAACATGGCGACGGGACGTCCCTAGTTTTGTGGCAGCCGCTGGGTACTACGTGACTGTCCAGGGGCCGTGCAGAACTGGCCCTGCCTCACTGGCTGTGGTACTCTGGTTAGCTGGTCTCATCTCTCACCACTTGCAGCACTTAGGAGATCAGGCTCTTTGCCTCACCCAGTCAGCTGGTCCTGATCGCAGGGGTGTGGGTGAGCTGGTCCTAAGGGTATGAGTATGGGAGAGCTGATCCCACACACATTTGCTGTAGGATGACACAGGTGTGGAGGTAATGCACTCCTCACCCCACCCCCCAGTCCCGCTCCTCACATCCTCCAGCGGTTGGGAAAGCTGCTCTTAGGGTCATGAGCGCAGGAGAGCTAGCCCTGCCCCTCACTAGCTGCAGCACTTGGAAGAGCAGGCCCTGCATATTACCTGAGCAGTACAAAAGAAGCACAGGTAAGACATCCCTGAGGGCAATAGCACAAGAGAGCTGGCCTCACCACTCTTCTGCCTGAGTGTGTGTGGGGGGGATACCCTCCCCCCATCACCACCTACGGGTGTCAGGAGAGCTGGCCCTGAGAGCATGACATCGGGAGAGCTGGCCCTGCTCCCTCACTGGATGTAGCACATGGGAGTGGGCCCTGCACCTTACCTGGACAGCACAGTGGAGCTGGCCCTAAGGGCATGAGAGCAGGAGAGCTGACACCCTGCCTCTGCTGACCGCTGCACTGGGCGGCCTAGCTGGAGCAGTGATGGAGAGCTCACCCTGGTGGTACAGATAAGGGAGATCTGGCACACTGACCAGCTCAGCTACCACCAGGCCCAGGTCCAGGCCTCTGAGTTGGCCCACCCCAAAATTTATACCATGCAAATGGCTGAGACATGTGAAAGCGCCTGTCCTGCTGACCCAAAGCTGCAGGTCTCCATGAGACCTGCAGGTAACAGCAGGTAACCGGGAGGAGTCATGTAAGGAACCAGCGTCAATGGTGTCTCAGAAGCTCGAGAACTCAGACTGGACCAATGACTGATTGCAATGGACATTTGCAAGTGAGAACGTGTGGAAAATGGGTATGTGGAGGGCACACTGTGACATACTACAGCTTCCACTAGGAGATGTTGTTTTCTAGGCTTTGGTTTTTGCTTGTTTGTTTTATATTTGTTTGTTTCTTTGGTGTTGAGGGGAGGTTGCAAGGGCAGATATGAGGGAAACAGGGAGATGAGTGAAACTGGGGTGCCTGATGTGAAACAAAGAATCAAGAAAAGCTTAAAAAAATAAAACAGTATTTATATAGAATAAATTCCAAATGGAATTTTTAATAAAAGTTTCTCAGGGTTATCCTTGAAAAGGAGATTATGGTGTTTTAAGATGTTTTACAGTAAGCACGGCAGTTTTCCCTGCAGATCGTAGGTGGGTTTATATTGCACACCAGTTTAGCCTTGCTTTTCAGAGTGCACCTTCAGCCATTGTACCCACAGCCATCAACAACTACAGTTAAGAAGATGTAAGCCAGCCTATACTCCCTGTATTTATACAATTTGTATCTATAGGAGTATGTGTATAGATTTGTATGTGATTCCAGCAAGTTAAGAACTGTGAGGAGAATTTCTGAACAAAATTTTGTAAGTAATGAAATCAGTTTTTAAACACTAAAGAGAGCTCCCAGGGCTTCCCTTGGACCTCTGTCCTCTGCCTGTTCCCTTCATGCAGCTGGAGTTTTCAAAGTACTGGTCACGGCACGCCAACATACAGCCTATGACAGCCCCTCAATCATGTACATGACTGTCTGAACTACAGGCCAGCTTGTGATTTCCAGTATTCTCCCAACCTTGTAATCTGTGAAAAAGAAGTAAAGACCAGCATTGTAGTCCCAAGACTTGCTGTTAAGTACACGTGGAAAGTGCACACTGTCTCAACTGCAGTCTGTTGCTGGAGGAAATGAGCTCACTTACAGCAGGCTCAGTCTAGTCTCCTTCCTTTTTTGTTCTCATTCTTTTCTCACATTGGTAATGTCAAAGCTCTCAAACATTCTTTGGTTCTGTTTCGAGCCAATCATGAAACAGCACCATGGAAAGGGTTGTGAAGATTCACTTTTGTACATCTCTCTCATCTCAGGACCAACGAAATACTGTGTCTACCACCTGCTAAAAGTCAAAGAGAGACCAGTAGGGACACTAGAGGTGTGTGTATGCCTGGCTGCCTTTCTATAAAGCAGATGTTTTAATGCAAACAGCACCACTTGGATGGCCTAGTACTACCTGTAAACACACTTGCCAGTTTGCATTTCAAGTAACAGAGTGCTTGATAGATGTGTTTGTATATTAGTTGAAATGGCTCATGGGATCAAAGATTGTTGATGCTGCTGTAGCTGGTGTCCAGTCAGGTAGGTGTTCTCATTTTATCACGAAGGTGCTCTGGGTAAACAGGAGAGAGTGTGCACAAACAACACAGTATTCACAAAGCTAAGGCTTAATTACAGAGGAAGGAGGGATAAATTCTGTTATAAATTCAGATTTGCAAGACAAGCAATAGAAAATGCTTTTAACTTTTAATATGTATTATTAGTATATTTGAATAACTGTTCTTTTGTTTCAGGTGTTGGGGTTGATGACATGTTTATCATGATCTCTGCCTGGCAGAAGACCAGCATCGGGGAGAGCATAAAAGAGCGACTCTCCAGTTCATACTCAAAGGTGGCAGTGTCCATTACAATCACCACCATCACCAACGTCCTTGCTTTCTACACGGGAATCACCAGCTCTTTTAGATCTGTACAATACTTTTGCATTTATACAGGAACAACTGTGCTCCTTTGTTATTTTTATAGTATCACCTGTTTTGGAGCAATTATGGCTCTGGATGGTAAAAGAGAAGTTGCATGCTTCCGCTGGCTGGAAAAGCCAGACCAAAAATTTTCCTCATTTAAAAAGTCCTGCTGTCTCCCATTTGGTTCATTCCCAGGTGAACATGGAGAAGATAAACACCCAATGAATTTGTTCTTTAGAGACTATTTTGGTCCTTTTCTCACAACTACCAAAGCCAAGTTTACTGTAGTGCTGGTATACATTTTCTACATCATAAGCAGTATATATGGGTGCTTCCAAGTTCAGGAAGGGTTAGATCTTCGGAACCTGGCGAGTGATGATTCTTATATCACACCTTATTTTAACATCGAGGAAGATTATTTTTCAGATTTTGGTCCAAGGGTTATGGTTATTGTTACTGAAAGTGTTAACTATTGGGATGATAATGTAAGGAAGAAACTGGACAAATGTATGATAAAGTTTGAAGAAAATGAGTATGTAGATAAAAATCTCACAGAGTTTTGGTTGGAAGCATATATTAAATATATGAATAACATTGGAAATGATCTTAATAACAAAAATACCTTTATGAATAGTATCTCAGGCTTTTTAACAAATTTCCCCATTTTTACACATGATATTAATATTTCCTCATCAAATGAAATAATTTCTTCCCGGGGCTTCATCCAGACTGTAGAGGTTTCATCCTCAAGCAATAAGAAAAGAATGTTATTACAGCTAAGAGGCATAGCTGAAGACTGTGAAGTTCCCCTAATGGTGTATAACCAGGCATTTATATATTTTGATCAGTATGCTGCAATAATAGAAAACACTGTTCGAAATGTCATGATTGCTTCAACAGCTATGTTTATTGTTTCTTTATTGCTAATTCCTCATCCAGTGTGTTCCTTGTGGGTTACTTTTGCTATTACATCTGTGATTGTGGGAGTAACAGGTTTCATGGCATTCTGGAATGTTAATCTTGACTCCATATCCATGATTAATCTTGTCATTTGTATAGGGTTTTCTTTTGATTTTTCTGCACACATATCCTATGCATTTGTTTCCAGTTCTGAACCCTCAGTAAACAAAAAGTCAATTGAGGCATTATATATGCTAGGCTATCCAGTGTTGCAAAGTGCAATTTCAACAATAATAGGGGTGTGTGTTTTATCTGTAGCTAAAGCTTACATCTTCAGGACATTTTTTAAGATTATGTTTCTTGTTATGTTTTTTGGGGCTGCTCATGGCCTAATTTTTATTCCAGTATTTTTAACCTTTTTTTGAAAGTTTGTTTGAATGCACAGTAACAAATAACCCCAACCAGTTATATAATTCCAGATGGCCTGATTCTGGTCTGATTACAAAATGCACTAATTAAAACTTAGTCAATACAAAAAACAAAACAAAACAAAAAAAAAAAACAAAACCAAAAAAAAAAACCCAAAAAACAAAAACAAAAACAAAACAAAACAAAACAAAAAACAGAGATGGAATGAGAAAGGGGGGTTATGAGGAAGAAGAACCAGTGGTAGGAATGAGCAGAAGGGGAGGGTGATGTGGGGTATCAACAGAGCACATTGTATACATGTATGAAAATGTCTTAATGAAACCCATTACTTTGTCCAATTGGTATACACTAATAAAATAGGAATTATTAATATATACCTGAAAACATAAAAAGTGTTAAAAACAGTCAATCTACTTTAGAGAAAGTGCCTTGATTTGGAAGTCCCATATTAAACTGTTCTTTAACATATTCTGAGAAAAATTAAAATTCTTTACCAAATTAAGAAAAGTGTTTTCTTCATATTATTGTCTATAATAAGTCTTAGTTATTTTTTATTGCTTCAATAAAAACCATGATTGAAATCAACTTTGGAAGGAAAGGGTTTATTTCAGTTTATAGCTTACAATCCATCATAAATGGAAGTCATGTAATATGATTTATTTTATGTGCCTGGCCCTTTAGAGGACCCTATGCTTTTCAGTGTCTGTGGCCTTTTGGAATTCTGAGAACAAAGGAGGATATAAAAAGCCAGCCATTGCTGAGAGAAGGGTAGTAGGTTCCAGGAGACAGAAGAGTAGGGTCAGAGAGTAGGGTCAGAAAAGGCAGTTGGTGACAGCTGAGACAGGAGACGCTGAGCTGGGCCAGAGAGAATATTGTTAGGAGACAGTTAGGAGAAGAACCCAGGAAGAACCAACACAAAGCAGCTAAAAGAAAAAAACAGAAGTAGCCACCAATGTTGGACAGCACATTTGTAGGAAAAAAAGAAACATTAAAAGACAAGTGGCCACTAGTGCGGCTAGGCAGAATGGGAGGCTTACTTTCAAGTACCATAGAAGGAAAGGCAGGAAAAGGAGGAATGGATACTTTGCTTCAGAAAGTTGACAGGGAAGTTTTTTCTGAGGCCGTTGTTGGGACATGCTTCCCATGGCTTTCAGCAGCAGTTTCTTTTCTCCTTTCCCTCATTTTAGGGATTTCTTTTTATGAAACACTGGCTGAACAACTGGAAAAAATGTGGGTAGAATCAGAGAAATTTGGGAGTCAAAAATGAAACGCTAGCTAAACAAATGGAAAAATATGTGTGAAAATAGAGAAAAGCTTGGGAACCAAAAAGGAAGAAAAACAAGAACATCATATGCCTGCTAATGGAATAACCCACCGGGTTATGATGAAATAAAATGGTATTCTATAGAAATGACAGACCTAAGGCATTTTGAAGAGGCAATGGTGTCTTAGGATATGCACTCTCCCTATGTGAAACAAACTCTAAATAAGTGGGCTATTCAAAATAGAATTATTCTTCAAGACTAGAGGCTGATCCTCAGTTGTAATGGTTATCATGGTGGAAAGAAGAAGCCAGGAATTTGGAACAGCACAATAGAGTAAGCGGAATTAATATGGTGAGGGACCAGTAGATGGGCAAAGGTTATTATGCTGATATACAAGAATAAATTCAATTTGAAGACACAATCATAGAACAATGCCATTTTAAGAGCCTGGGACAAAGTTGAGGAGCCAGGAAAGAAGTTCACATCTTATACAAGGATCAGAGAAGCGTTCACTGATTTTTTTTTTTTTTTACAAAGGATTAGTTTCAGCTGTGAAAAAAGCCATCTCAGACCCTGATGTGAGATAAGTGCTAACTGAGATCTTGGCATTTGAAATGAAAAAGTTATAAGGCCATTAAAGGTGAGGACAGCACTATGGAAGAGTGGATCAAGGGGTTGATTGATATTGGTTCTAGCATGTATAATGCCACAATAATTGGGAAAGCCATAGCTAAAGGTTTTAGATCTCAAAATGCATGATGCTTTAACTGTGGAAGATATTGTCATTTGCAGAGAGACTGTGACCAAGCCACTAAAGGTCATTAAAGCCTAATGCTTTAATTGTGGAAAATATGGACATTTGAAACAAAATTGTGAACAAGGCATCTCTAAGAGCAGTATTTTTCTAAATATAAACCAGAAAGGTAAATAATAATAATAATAATAATAATAATAATAATAATAATAATAATAATAATAAAAACCAGGAAGATTTAGGATTCTGGGGACGTGCAGGCGATATGGCAATGGTTGCCAATGAGTGTAGGTCCAAGAGAGATAGCCAAGGTGATTTCTTGCCATTGGAAAATGAAATGGCTGGGGGTTAGCTCAAGGTCAAGGCCCTGCAGCAAAAAGAACAAGCTGTTTGACTCCTGTCAGAAAATGACAAGCAGGCAGAACCTCAACTAAAGCATGGTGCTGCAAGCTTGCTGCTCTAGACTCGGTCATAGACAAACATCTTACACTATCCCCCCAAAATTCAATGTTATAAAATATCTACTAGAGTTTTTGGTCCTTTTCCCTCAGGGACAGTAGGAATGGTCTTGGTAAGGAACAGTTTAATCCAAAAAATTCATTGTGCATCCAGGAATTATAGATGAAGATTTCAAAGGAGAAATTAAAATAATGGCTTATGTAAGAAGAGATGCAACTTAACACAGGTGCTAGGATTGCTCAGCTGTTACTGTTTCCGTATATCAAAGGCAAAGCTGCTGCAGCAGAAAGATCGTGAGGGTTTGGAAGCACAGGACAATGTGTGTTTTGGCCAACAGTTGTTAATGATTAGAGGCCAAATTAAAGTAGCAAGTGAATGACACTGAAATAGAAGGTTTGGTGGATACAGGAGCTGATGTAATTATTTCACAAAACCTTGAGATTCAGAATAGCCCCTTCAAACAGTTTACACCCAGTCTCTAGGAACTGGAAAGTTGTCTCAGATAATGGTATACTATGGCTTAAATGTGTGGGACCAGAAGGCCAAAGAGGAAAGGGGATGCAGTTTATTACATCAGTGGGGAACTTGGGTTGATATTTCTTCAATAGAGACAATCCCTAAAATAACGGGTGAAGGTGCTGGGGAAGTGGCTCAGTGGTTAAGAGCACTGGCTGCTCCTCCAGAGGTCCTGAGTTCAATTCCCAGCAACCATATGGTGGCTTACAATCTATACTGGCATCTGATGCCCTTTTCTGGCATGCAGGTGTATATTCAGATAGAGCACTCAAATATATATAAAAAAAGGGATGTGTGTGAAATGGAAGATGTATTGGAGGAGGTTACTGAAAAATGTCATCCAGAACAACCACAGACTGTGCAAGTTGTCCAAAAATGGGACACAACAAGGATGTTTCCAAATTCGTGAGGGATGGGGGCGCTGCTGAAATTATACCAAGGGCCTACTCTTAAAATGGTTGACTAATAAGCCTGTGTGGACAGAGCAGTGACCTTTAACTAAAAAAACTTACAGGCATTTGAGCAGTGGGTACAAGAGCAGCTGGAGGCTCAACATACAGAAGAGCCACCAGCCCTTGGAATCCCCTGTATTTGTTATAAAAAAGAAAGTGGGGAAATGAGAATGTTAACAGATTTGAGAACCGTGAACAGAGTAATCCAACCAATGAGTTTGTTAGAGCCTGGAATTCCTTTTTTTTTTTTTTTTTTTATTACCGAAGGCCCCATCTATCTGCCACCTTAGAGAGGTGAGAATAAAAATGACAAACACATCCCAAACACGCACTACAGATTTGCCTACAGGCCAATCTTGTGAATGCAGTTTCTTAGTTGAGAGTCTGTATTCCCAAATGACCAGCTTGTGTCAAGTTAATAATAAAACTAGCTAGAACATTGACTGTGGACTGAAAACTCTGAAACTGTGGGCTAAAACAATCCTTCTTTGTCACATGTATTTTGTTAAAGTAACAACAAAAAAACCTGATTAATACAGATAATGTTCTAAAGACTAAGTGACTGGATAATGTGTTTTTCAAAGCAACTATGACGTGTTTGTGACGGGTTTATCATTTTTCTTCTCACCTCTCTAAGGCGGCAGATAGTTGAGGCATGCTGTTTGATTATTTTTTTAAAATTTGATATTGCAATTTCAACTAGAGTAAAAGTGTGTACCATAATGCCCAGCTAAATGTTATTTTTATTTATTTTGAAATCTTTTTATTTTGTGTCGGTATTGAAAAACTATAGGAGAGGAAGAGGGAGGGAGGGTGCTACAGCTGGGATACAAAGTGAATAAAATGTAATTAATAAAAATAAAATAAAAATAAAAACTAAAAAAATGAAAACTACTTTTGCTGAATAAGGGAATTCTGTTTGACAGTTCTTTTCTTTCAGCATTTAAAATGAGCCTACACTTTACCAGTGTTCTAACACTATTGTTTTTTATGAGAGATAATTAGTCACCAAAATGTTTTATTTTTTAATAATTTTTTTTATTCTTATAAATAATCTTAATTTATATTATTATTGGGTTGTATACATGTGTGTATCCACACACACACCCCGGCGCTCGTGTGGGGACAACTTGTGGAGTTGGTTTTCATATGGATTCGAGGTACAGACTCCAGTTGGCAGGCTTATACCCACCTTTCCTTGCAGAACTGTCTCCTCTGACTGTGTGAGGCTGTTTTTGAGACGGGCTCACGTTGTAGCGGAGGCTGCTCTGACCTTGCTCCTGAGTGCTGTCCTTGTAGACACAGTTAACAGCCTTGCATCTGTATCACCTGTCTCATTTCTTTCTCACATTGTCTTGTTTCTATTGAAAAGTAAGCTAATTACTCCAGTGAAAATGTTTGGTGATTGTTTCAGGTCAGAAAATGCAGCTTGAGAAGTGTCTTCAGCATTAAGGAGTGATGGGCCACTGCAGTCACCCTTGTTTTTCTTCCTTGAATTAGGTTTTCAATTTCACCTGATATAAACATGGGTTCACCTTTGGTTTTTTATT